GGTTACAGACTGTTTCAGAACGGTTCGGTGAAATGACCAATCGGTTGACAAATGTTACGCCTCGGTGAAATCATGGTTCCTCATGCAGGCACCCATGCCATGCCGCATTAACATGCCCACACTAGCTCGGTGGGAGCACACAACACATGCTCTCACTCCCTCCGCTCGCCCCAATCCCCTTGATTCCAGCCCCTTGCTCCATTTCCCGTCAGTGCAGGCACCCATGCCATGCCGCATTAACATGCCCACACTAGCTCGGTGGGAGCACACAACACATGCTCTCACTCCCTCCGCTCGCCCCAATCCCCTTGATTCCAGCCCCTTGCTCCCTTTCCCGGCAGTGCAGGCACCCATACCATGCCGCATGAACATGCCCACACTAGCTCGGTGGGAGCACACAACACATGCTCTCACTCCCTCCGCTCGCCCCAATCCCCTTGATTCCAGCCCCTTGCTCCCTTTCCCGTCAGTCCAGGCACCAATGCCATGCCGCACGAGCATGCCCACGCTAGCTCGCTATGGGTACACAACACATGCGCGTCTGCCATGCCCGTTATCATGCCCATACTCGCTTGGAGGGAGCACACAAGCTCTCACCCTCTCCGCCTGCCCCTTATTTCCAGCCCCATGCTCCCTTCACCGTCAAGAAAGCCCCCTATGCCCTGCCTCCCGGAGCACTTATTGTGTCTTGCTCCACTCCCTACATTTCCTGAACACCCTTTTACCAATTTACAGAAGAATGGGGACCGGACTGGCACGTAGACGATGAAACGAAGTGGCCTTTTTCGAGTGAAACTTTCAGTGCGGGAATTTTCGCTGCATTCGTGAGATCAGGCATGTCACTGGGGGTATGGAAGACCCGCCAGATTGCCTTTGCATTGTTTGCTGTAAGTACAAGCACCTTGATTCTGAATTTGTTTCTGTATTTGCATCCAGTCCAGAAACTCATTGCCATTATTGTGCCTTGCAGCTGGAATACCCGATCTTGACAAAGACCGCCGATGGGAATTTGAGCAGCAAACCCGACTACAACAGGCCGTTGTATGAGGACAAAGTCAAGTGGTGCCGGAAATGGGTGGAGCATGCGGTCACCAACCTTGGCGTGAGCTATGATGACAGCAGGGACGTGTTTGTGTTCGGCAATGGCATCCTTATCGATGCTAGTGACTACGCAGCTGGATTCAAGAAGACGACTATTGTTCTGCAGTAGCCTAGCATGTTTCATGAATTTGTTGCTTCTATTGACTCAGTAAATTTTATGTGTGGGCACAATTAAAATACCAATTTAATAACAGATTATATTTGTAATTTTGAATAACAATTATATATACGGAAAATGAACATTAACAACACTGAATTAACTGTACCGTTTTCACTGTTCTCGCTGTATCAGAAATATTGGCAATGAAAGATTGCAACCCATGCGCGATGATAATGGAAATCCGCCGGAAATCGTATTGGTTTTCCATCGGAAATCATCGTTCCTCTCTGAGATGGAAAACCGATGGAAAATATAGTGACAAAACCAGTGCGCCACTCGTTGGAAATCCGTCCGAACAAGTTGAAAGTTTGCCAGCGGATTTCCATTGGTTGGACAGAAAACCGAGCCTAAACCACCTGTTTTCAGGCCCCGTTTTTTGTGATGGTGCGTGGAATGGTGGTCACTTCTCGAGAAGGTTACAGACTGTTTCAGAACGGTTCGGTGAAATGACCAATCGGTTGAGAAATGTTACACCTCGGTGAAATCATGGTTCCTCGGAATTACACCTTCAACACATTCGCGCTGCGGGAAACCTGGATAATACGCTTCCTGCAGTCAGATTGCTGCCGAGGCGACGGTCAGGTACCAGTAGATGCAGCTGACTTCAGATAGACGGATTCGACGGGTTACCTGGCGGGAAAGGAAGGACGCCACCACGGCTGGATCCTTGCTCGTGTGACGCTTCGAAGGTACAGTAGAAAAAAAATGTCCACCGCAATGAAGGCAAAACCACAAGCCTCCACCAGAATTGTTTTTCTAGTGCCCGTGAGAAACAGTGACGAGGTTTGGGGGATTTATTTTCGACGGACAATAAACATTAGTTTTTTAAGTTATGGCCATACCTCTCGAAGCATCATTTTTTAATTTCGTTTTGCCCAGACAGTCGATGCCCCAAATCGTCGCCGCAAAGCACGGAATCAGTTACCCCCCATAAAAGAGAGATTCAGGTGATGCAGTGGAATTGTCGTGGCGCCATTCCACGTAGTCACGTCTGCCCTGGCGGGATTTGCGTGCAATGCAATGCAGTCAGCTTGGTCAACGCGCAGATGCCGCACCAGGAGAAGCCAGGAGAATTTTGGATGTTCGATTCAGTACTCGCCGTTATACGACCACTGATTTCACTTAATCGATGCCTTTTTTCAGCCCTCTCATAGATAAAGATTGCCGCTTCCATTACCAAAAGCTTATGGCTGATCGTTTTTTAAGCTTCCAGGTTCAAATTCACCCTGAAATTGCCGCAATTATAGCCAGGATCACTCAAATAAACGCTTGATCACGTATTTCCCAAGAAGGCCTATTTCTATCGATGTTATTTTCTTTGCTACATTGAAAAGAACGGTAATTTTTTTTTACCAAACTTATGTCTCTGGGTTTTTTTTAGAGATTGGTTTACCCTGAAATATCAGGATTTCTATTTTAGCAACACTGATGAGCCAGAGTTCTTTTTCCAGGATGTAGATTTTCTTTGTAAAAGGAATTCAAATCTCGTCGGGGTGTTCTTACCCCTCCTGCCAGCGCGAATGGAGCGCGCGCGGTACGACAACCGCTGCTTTGACCAAGCCCACAAAATAGTCCGTGGTTCCGCGCAGCAACTTCTGTGCTCATCCGCCGCGCCCAACTTCCGCCTTCCTCTCCCCCCTGGCCAGGGACGACACCAGCCGAATCTGCCGCTATGGGCAGCCCCTCATTACAAGCTCCACCTTTCTGTGCTGTCCTGCCTCGCTAATATTTTAGGGCGCGTCCCCTCCCTCAATCGATCATGCCCTCGATCGACCGAGGGACAGGTACAGTGTCGCAATTCACTAGGTAACCAAATTTCGAGATGGCTAGCGAACTTAAAGAAACTCGGGCCCAACGATCTTGTCACCTCCGCTAACGACGATCGATGTGCCTTCGTGGCCACACCGATCTCGGCTTTTGTAGGATCGAGAGTTTTTTCCCCCTTGAATTCTCGATCCTGTCACCCTGGGCTCGAGATCGATCCGCGATTGTCACCTCCTACCAATCCCTCCCCAATCCTGCGAACGGTGTGCCCTTTCGGTTTTTCACATCGATCTCGCGATCGTTCGAGGTAGGGGACGCGCCCTCACCAGCGGCAGGAAAAAGGTGGGAAAAGGTGTTGTGCGCTCTCGAGCGGTTTGCCTGCTCCACCGCGTTGAACCGCCACCCACCAGTCTATAAAATGATTCTTGAACTGGAAACGAACTAGGGCCTGACAAGCGCTCACCTTATATTGAGCCTCACTGCAAATTTGCCATGTAAATTGCCTTGTGCGCTCTCATAGGCAAACAGTTGCTCTCTGCTTTTTCCCAGTCATCTATCCACAGTAGGTGTCTAGGTCTGTTAGCGGCGTTCACGTTCCTATTTCTACAGCGGTCATTGCTCGCCGCTGGCATGTGGTGCTACTTCACGAGAATGACATAATTTCGCTCTGCTTTCTGGTCGTTCTCGCCTGAACGCTACAGTAAGCATGGAAGCCGATTTGGTTATCACCGCTTTTATTTTTCCACCACTTCAAGGCGCTCGTATTCCGTCACCCCACTGAACGGAACCTCTGTTTAATGCGTTCCGTTTTGGACGATCTTATACATCGTTCTGCGGTTCCTTCCCTTCCACATCGTTCCGCTTTCCCCACCTATTACAAAAACTAGAAACATGCACTTCCCACTGAGCGAATACCTGGCAGTCGCGGTGGCATGGCAGCGAGCTACGGAGCTATCACCGTGCCTTCCTCGTCGCAGTGGGCGCCCGTACCGCCGCTGGTCAAAGCGACCGCTTTTGGCGTCTTCCAGCCCTTCCGTCCCTGCGTTTCAAACGTTTGTCTCCCTTCTTTGCAGCGGCAAGGAAGCAAGCGAACACGCGCGATCGAGGAAGCAAACAACGAGCGTGCGATCTAACGAGCGAGAGCGACCGATCAAGCGAGCGAGCGAGCGATCAAGCGAGCGAGAGCCATCACGTTTTCGTCGTCGCAATCGACGGCGGTGCAGCTGGTGGACAAGGCGACGAGCGACCTGTTGGCGAGCCCAGATTGGACGCTCAACATAGAGTTGAGCATGAGCCCCGCTCGGGTCGGGCCGGCCCGACCTGACCCGTGGTTTTGCCCGGGTCGGGCCAAAGTTTCTGGATCCCTGCCCCGGTTGGGCCGACCCGACCCGACCCGGGGTAAGACCCGACCCGGGGGCCCATTTCGGGTCGGGCCGAGCCGGGTTCCGGGTCGGGCCTGACCCGACCCGATTTCGGGCTGGAAATGTCGTAATCGGGTCGGGCCAGGCGCGCGACCCGATTTCGACAGGGCTAGGGCCGAAACCCTAGCCCGAATGTAAATCGATCGAGGGGATTTCTTCCCCTCCGATTAACATTTGCCACCCTCGCCACGCCAGCAGCAGCCCCTAGCCTTAGAGTCTTCGTAATTACCCCTCACTAAACTACCACCTACCTTAGGCATCACCCGGCGATTTCACACACTGTTATTTACATTCTTATATACACGATTTTGGCTGCACTTAGTACATTTCGCGCTGGTCAGATTAGTAGTTCTTAGGGTTTCCAGATTCAAGGGCATCCTCTACTTTCCATCGAGCACACTTCTACCGTGGCATTGCCTCTTTAGTAGACGCATTTACCGGCACCCGCTGCACCATTTCGTGTAGGTTTAGCGTCACCCGCTTGCACCGTGACGGGGAATCCACGAGCACACGTCTCGGTTCATTCCGTGAAGGAGCGATCGTAGGCGCGAACCATGTCTGGCACGGACGGCGATCCGTCGAGCTCCACGCGGATTCAAGGGTTTTCTCTCGCGGCCATCGGAGTCACATCCTTTGGCGGGGAGGGTTTTCAATTGGGCCAGCTCTCCCCTGGTGCTGACCCTGTGACCTATGAAGAGGGCATTGCGGCGCGGCGGGCTTCGGAGGAGCAGCGATGGCAGAAGGCAATGGACGACCTGCGTGCTATTGAGAAGCAGTCGCCTGAGGAACGTCGCGACCCGACTTGGGTGCCGGGTAATGCGGATGCTGGCGCTGCGAGTGACGGTGATAGCGGTGGCGAGGGTGGGGGGGGGGCGTGTGGGACAGAAGAGAGCACGTGTGGGTGAAGGTGCTGTACCTACTGCCGTGTCTGCTCTAGCCGCTGGTGCGCCTGCTGCTGCCACTACTGTTGCTGCTACCGCAGCTGCTGCGGCTCCTGCTGCTGCTGGGCGTCCGCCCGCTACTACTGCTGCTGCTGCTGCACGTCCTCGCGCTTCCGGACGCCCTCGCGCTACTGCTGCTGCTGTTGCTGCTGCCGTGCCCACTGCTGGACCACGCCGCGTTGGTATTTCCTGGGCTTCTATCAATGCAATGCGGGAGGCCAACCAACTACCGACCGAAAAGGACCTGGACCCTATCGTGGAGAGCGCTCTAAGTAGGAGAGAGTCGGGCTTGGTGAAAGGCATGTTTGGGGCGCTGAACAACAATGCATGGCGATGCCTTACGTGCAACACGTTGATTAGTTGGCGTTTAGGCAACACGAGCCCGGGGGCCAGGCATTTGAAGAGGGCGCACTATCCTAGCCTCCAGATCTGGGTCCGTCGCTTTCTGGACCAAAACAAGTCTGATGGGCTTGTTTTCCTGGATGGTGGTTGGGGACCTACAGTACCGGATAAGACTAAGTGGCCGTGGGAGCACGCTGCCACATGGCCTGACGTTCCGGCAGCCGAGACGGGGGCCGGGCCGAGTGGGTTGACCGGAGGAGCCGTCGTTGGGGGGGGTAGGCAGGGTACCATCGATCAGTATGTCACGACTCGGGTTGGAGAGCGGCAGCTGCGCGAGGCCTTGGTGATGCTGTTCACCGGCCTTGACATGTCGTTCCGTTCGGTCGACAGGCCCGCGGTAAGCACTGTGCGCGTTTTCTTTTGTACTCACGCACGATCGAGTATACATTGACAAGCTGTACGCAATATCCTACCACCATTCTTTTCTTTCACTCCTTACCATGTTTGTTACCCTCCTCATGGCAGTTTCATGACTTCGTGGCCCTGCTTAACCCGGACGCGGCGCAGCATCTCGGCACACGTTTCCGCCTTGTGCGGGATATGCTGTCTGGAGCCGAGACGGCTAAGGCTCAGCTTCGACAGCTGTTGACAGGTGACGGTCTGGCGGGGCGGGTGACACTCACCACTGACATATGGACCAGTGAGAACAACGTCGTTTTCATGGTGGTGACTGCTCACCGAGTCACCTCGGACTTCCAGCTGCAGCAGATGGTGATCGACTTCAGGCCGCTGGAGGGCCGCCACACGGGGGATAAGATAGCGACCGAGCTGGAGGAGGTCATAGGGGAGTGGGCATTGGGTGGTGGTGAGTTCTTCGGCGTGACGACGGACAACGCCGAGAACAACAACCGGGCGGTTCGTTTGTTGGCCGGCGTCCCTGACGACACACTGGGGTCACGTCCGCGTGACCCCGCCGTCATGTCCCTGTCTCGGCACTTCAAGTAAGTGCCATCCGCTCTTGCTACTAGTGTCCATGAGCATATCGGGTAATGAAAAGTACCCACCTGAACCCCATACCATGGTTGATCATTGCCATTTCTCTATGGCATTGCTTGCCCTCCCCTCCAGGTGCGTGGCCCACGTCTTGAACCTCGCAGTGCAGAACGCACTCAAGGTTGAGTCGGTGGCCGAGGCGCTCTGGAGGTTGCGAGCTCTGGCTAGCTACATCGGGTGGTCAATGCAGCAGTCGGAGCGCTTTTTTGACATCCAGAAGCAGTATGCTGCGACCCTTGCGGCGACCCAGGCAGGGGAGGGGGCGGAAGAGGGGGGGGAGAGGCAGGCAGAGGGGGGCACTGCAGAGGGGGGAGCGACGCAGGCAAAGGGGGGCAGCAGTGCGCGCAAGAGACCTACTGACTTGCGCCTGATCGTTGACTCGGACACGCGCTGGGGTTCCACGCTGGAGATGGTGGTGAGGGGGTGTGAGCTGTCCATTCCGCTCACGATGTACTTCGATCAGTCCTCTATCGTAAGTATGGGATTGTCATCAGGTCACCATGTACTGTGCTCATGTGAGATATAGTTCATCTCTCTATACCACTTCGGGGTGTATGTTCTTATATCGAATGGTTGGGCCAAGCTGCCTTGTGGGCTCTCAAGGCTTCCCAATCCGATCCCAATGTCACCATGTACTACCCCAATGTCACCTCCATTTCATCTCTTCACCACTTTGGCTTGCATGTTCTTATATCGAATGGTTGTGGCATCCATGCCATGTGGCCTCTCAACTCTTCCCAACCCCATCCCATCACCATGTACTTCCCCAATGTCATCTCCACTCCAACCAAATCACTTTCCATACCTTCCCTCTCTCCCCCTCTCAGCCAAACATCACGAAGGCCACACGCACGGCATGGGCAGAGATCAGGCTGTCAGATGCCCACTGGACAGCTCTCAACGAGCTGCGGGCTTTCCTCGAGCCATTTGACAGCATCACCCTGTTCGTGGAGGGGTCTTTGTACCCCACCATGGGAGCGGTCGTGCCGCAGTACAACATGCTCCTGGATATTCTTGAGGGGAACAAATATTCGCCAGACGTCTCGCAGCTGTGCAAGGACCTCTCGGGCCGGGCCTTGAGCAAGCTGGAGCGCCACATGGGCCGGGTGAGCGAGGAGTGTGCGATTGCCACCTTCCTCGATCCTCGGCTCAAGATGGCAACCTTCAGGCTCGGGGCCCGAGGGGCGAGGACTAGTGCGCCCATTGTGGTAGAGGCGGGGGGGCATGCCAGGGGTGCCAGGACACTCGACCTGAGTGAGGAGAGGGTGAAGGTGCTCGTACGCGAGCGCCTTCCAACCTACCAGACAGCTGCCCGTGCAGCGGCAGAGGCACGCCTTGGGGGGGAGGTTACGAGCGCTAGGGAGTGACGGGGGAGGGTTTAGCGAGGAGCAGGGCTGCAGGGCGCAGGGGGGCCAGGTTGCGTGGCGTGCTGGACTTTCAGGCTAGGCTGTTCGTAGAGTTGGCAGAGATGGAGGCAGAGGAGGGGGTGCAGGCACAGGACGAGGTGGACCAGTATTTAGCTGAGGCGAGGCAGGAGGGTGGGTGCGCCTTAGCGTACTGGCGCGGGAGGGAGCTGCAGCTGCCCGGGCTTAGGGCCATGGCTCGCGATTATTTGGGTATCCCCGCCACGTCTGCAGCGAGTGAGAGAGCCTTCAGTCAGAGCAGGAACATCATCTAGTGGCAGCGGCACCGTCTGAGCCCACAGCAGATGCGTGCGGCCATGATGATCAAGACTTGGCAGGATCACCACCCTGGTCAGAGGCTTGAGGTTCGTGGTGGCACTAGGACCACGATGGCGCAGCTGTGCCTTGAGGCAGAGCAGCTGGGGTTGTGAGAGACGGTTGCTCGGGGGGAGTTGCTGCGGTGTCTTTTGTTGTTGTGACAGTCGAGGTATTGCACTGTCATATTTATTAGAGACCTCCTTGGACGTGCTACAGCTTGCATTGACGGTTGCAGCTTTGGGGGTTTTATTAGCAGACATATTTATAGTTTGCATGAACTTATTGCAATTGTTGTGGCGAACCCAATGGGAAACCCAACCGCACTATTTTTTCTTGATGTCTCGACTGTGAATCAACCAGTAGGTTATTGTACATGTCATAGCTAGTAATCTACACATTTTGAAACCATCACACGTTCAAGTGGTTGAAGAACAATGCTTTAAATATGTATATTAATAACAAGTGTAACAGAGAAATTGTACAAGTCATGATGAGCACCCCAACCCTCCCTCTAAGGGGGCGGGTCTGCCTGGCCCGACCCGCCCCGACCCGAACTCGGGTCACCTTTGACCCGAGTCAGTAGGCCCGGGTCGGGCCACCTCTTTCACGATTGTGGCCCGAGCCCGGCCCGACCCGACCCGACCCGAGGGCCCGTGTGGACCGGCCAAATCGGGTCGGGTCGGGTCGGGTCGGGTCACATGCTCAACTCTAGCTCAACATGCAGCTGTGCGACCTCCTTAACGCCAGATCCGGGTGAGTTGGAGACGCCAGCTCCGGATGAGCAGCTTTAAGACGTCTTTTATCCGTGCGCTCATGCGAGCGCTCCGGGTAAGCGTATTTGGTGTGATCAGTGTGTCGAAGGCTGAGCGTTTCTAAGTCCTCTCAACTTCTTAACACCTTCCTTCCTTGTGTCATTGCGTGACCTGCATGGCAGGCAAGTGAAGGATGTGGTGAGGGCAGTGAGGAAGCGCATCGGCAGCAAGAACAGGAAGACGCAGCTCCTCGCGCTCACTGTGCGTTCACCGCTCACTGTGCGTTCACCGCTCACTGTGCGTTCACCGCTCACTGTGCGTTCACCGCTCACTGTGCGTTCACCGCTCACTGTGCGTTCACCGCTCACTGTGCGTTCACCGCTCGCGGGGCTGGCTCGAACTGCTCTTGGTTATTTGCTGCTGTCCCGTTTTTATCAAAACTCACGCACGTACATTTCTTTGCATGCGGGCCATGCCCCACATGTGGTAACGTGAATACATACTCCGCTGTGCAGGTCGCATGCCTGATCTATTCCTGCAACCAGAACAGCGGAGTATGTATTCATGTTGCGACGCCACCTGCATCAGCTCCTCCGAGAGTCGTTCCATGTACTCCATACTATATCCACCCCCGTACACGCCCATGTGCGCCCATGTGCGCCCACGTGTTGTCCCCTGCTGTGCGCCTCCGTCTGCCCCTTTCCACCCCTGTGCACCGCTGTCTGTCCCTGTGCGTCCCTGTCCACCGCTATGCACCTATGCATGGCGCCATCGAATCCCATTCTTCAGCTGCTGGAGACGCTGATCAAGAACTGCACGGCCTACGTGCACCGCGTGTCCACACTCACTCATATCCCTCGACGCCTCTGTGACTCAGGCGGTGAGGGAGAGCTGTGGGGTTTGAGGATTTGAGCCAAGGGTGAGAGGCGAGCAGAGGGTGGTGTGACTCAACTGAGGGGGTGGGGAAGGAGTGACAGAGTGAGTGCGCTGCGCTGCGGCACCGTGCACGAGCAGAGCAGTGAGAGTTGTTGTGTGAGAATTGCCCAACAACATCTGTAAAGCAGTGATAGAGGACCTTTTCACAGAACGTGTGAGGGGGGAGGAGATGGGTTGGGTAACAATTGCCTCAAAGCACCATCCATGTATGTATGCACGCACACAGCAGCACCAGTGCTCATCAATGGGGAGAAAAACACTTCACTGCTCGCCGGAAATATTAAGAGGATGTAGGAAGATGAGAGGTGGGGAGAGTGTGGGGCGGGGAGAGTGTGAAACCACAATTTGCGCAGTCAGCTTACCTGTTATCGTGATTCACCTTCTCTTCTCCACAATCGTTGCCCCTGTCCCTCTGCTTATCATGCACTTTATTTGATCCTCTCCTCTGTAGGATATCATCGGGGTGTTCAACGGCAACTGCATGATAAGCTACTCCGCTTATCTCAACATCTTCCCCATCTGGGCACTTGGCGTGAACCGGAACAAAGTTCTCAAGCAGGCGATCATGGTGTAACGTAATGTGTGGGAAGGCGGATTCAGCACGCATGGAGCGTACTGAAACAAAGCTCAATCAGGCAACCATGGCCTGACCTGATATGCAGCCTGGGTCTAGCATCCTGGCTCTGAAAGGAAGTCTCAGCCTCCTTGCCCCTAATATGCCCTGAGATAAGTCTGTCTAAACACACGTCATGCATGCTTCAGTGAAAGAGGAGGTTTAGCTGGTTGCACCCTTTTTCTTTCCGGTCGTACGGCCTTCAGGCCATTATCCGTATGCATGAGTGTTTGCTTTAGGTCTCTTTCCCTGTCTGGGCTACTGGGTTCTAAACCCTGAACCATACAATTTCCCTGTAATGCCCATCACTTCCACCTCCGGGCTGCTAGCATGTTTGTTGGCTGGCATTCAATGGAGTGGACTGCAGCTAACGCTCCACCAACCAGATTTGGCTTGACATGGCTCGCAACTAATGCATGCAGCCCAAGGAAAAGAGAGTCAGGGAGACGGAAGGACAAGCCTTCCCTGTAAGAGTCACTCAAAAATCAAAAGCTTTCACAAAGTTGTACTTTATATAGTCACAACAGGTATTCGTACATATTTCACACTTTTCATACATTTCCTCCATTCACATCATCATCTAATCCACCCGTGCTAGAGTCACCACTACCCCGTTTGCCTTTTAGGCTTTGGTGGCAACGGGCTGAACCTGAAATATCCCCATCGCTGCTCCCCCCATGACAGCCGTCGTCCCGAACCCCGTGCAGTACCCTTCCGGCCCCGCTACAATCGAATCCACCAGCTGCTTGTAAGTGTCCCCTTGGAACGTGGTCAGCGTACTCGCTTTAAGCCACGTTCCGTTAAGGGCATAGGTGTACGTTGTTAGGGAAGCGGGTGTGTCGCCCAGGGTCTTCCTGCTCTGGAGCGTGGGAAGCGCGGAACTAGTGAGATCCTCCCACGGGCCATCGGTCCCTGGGGGGGAAAAGAAGA